CAGGCAAGTAATCGGAAGGGAGACCTCCAAGGAATACCAGGGCTCGGGACGCAGAGGCAGGCAATCAAGCCACCTCTCTGAAACGTCCCAGCCCCACTAGGGGTTGCCAGAAGTCACCATGACTTCCAGGCATGCAAGCACACACACACACACACACAAGAGTGTTCACTGTTTGCATTGTCTTGTTTTAATCATAGGCCTACAGCGTAGTTCAAGGGATGTCTTATGTATGCTGTCTGATCGCATCGTTTTTATATTTGGTAATCCACCTAGCCTGATCTCATCAGATCTCGGAATCTAAGCAGGGTTGGCCCTGGTTAGTGCTTGGATGGGGGACCACCAAGGAATACCAGGGCTGCTATGCACAAACAGGGAATGGCTAAGCCACCTATGAATGCTTCATCCCTGGAAAAGCCCACCAGGGGTCGCCATAAGTCAGCTGAGACTGGACGTAAAAAAAAAATCCATCTTGGGTTTGTGAGAAAGTGGGCTATCAATGAAATAAAAGCAAACACAAACAGGACTATTCAAAGATGCCGCCAAACAAGGACATTACACCAGAAGGAGAGCCACACCCACTGAAGCCGGTCGCAAAACAGAGGCTCCACATCACCGTCGCTCACCTGAAGCAATTTTTACAATCGGCACTTCCAGCTGTAGCTCCACAGGGATAGAACTGCCGCTGGAGGATTCGAGTCCCTCGACACCCTTTGTGGGAGCCAGTAAGCCGATGACGCCATTCTCGTCCTGAACAGATGTGCCAGCAGAGAGAGGCTGTTAACAAGAACGAAGAAAAAAGCCCCCCAAAATAGCATCTCCAAGAAAACAAGCACACGTACCCGGAACGCTCCCCAGATGAACACACGTCCATCTTCCGTCAAGGTGGCCGTATGGCTGTCACCGGCAGAAACCTGCACCACTTTCTCCTCCAGATCCACAAGCCCCGGCACAGAGTCAGACCCTTCCTCTGAAGTGTCGCGCCCCAAGGCCCCTTCGTCGTTGCAGCCAAAAGTGTAGACCTGGGAACAGAAAAGCTACCCGGTGGCCAAGAAATCCAGACAGAACTCCAGGGAAACACAGGGCTGAGACAGGACACCCTTTGTCTATACAGTATCACATGTATCCTGCCCTGTCTCTAAGGAATTCAGGGAGGGACACTCTGTTCTCTCCTCACAACAACCCTGTGAGGTAGGTCAGGCTGAGAGAATGCTACTGGCCCAAGGTCATCCAGAGTGCTTCATGATGCAGTGGGGATTTGAACCCGGGCTGGCTGGGGTCCTAGCCCTATCCAGCAAGAAAGCACTCATGAAAGCTATTGGGGTGGAAGGCTTTTAGGGGAGTAGATCCATAAACTTCATAAAAGGGACAGCTGACTGCCAGCAACTGGGTGTGGAACAGCAGCTGCAGCTGTGCTTAATTTTGGCAGGAAAACAGCCATACATCAGAGAGGGCTGCCAGGCTCCTGCAATGACAGCCAGCCCAGCTTCATGTGATCGTCAGGCACACAGAAGAATCGGACAGTGTGAACAGGCACTATGTCAGACAAAGGCTTGGCTAGACTACTACATAAACTTTGCCCTACCAACAACTATTAACCATCAGAGACAGCACAATGCAGCAGTTAGAGTGAGGGACTAGCAGACCGCACTTTGCCATGAAAGCTTCCTGGGTGACCTTGAGCCAGGCATTCTCTCCCTCAGCCTAACCTACCTCACAGGGCTGATGTTGTGAAATTAATTATTGTATGGCAGTGTGTGTAGAATAGCCAGGAGATCCTAAGATTGTCTGGCAAGCTAGAAGTTCTAGCACTTTTAGCATTATGCATCACTAGGTGGCAAGCCAATTTTGTTTTTAAGGCAAGAGACATTTCAGAGGTGGTTTACCATTGCCTGCCTCTGTGTCACGACCCTGGGTATTCCTTGGTGGTTTCCCCATCCAAATACTAGCCAAGGCCAACCCTGCTGAGCTTCCAAGACCTGACGAAATCGGGCTACTTGTTGTGAAGATACAACAGAGGCAGGGAGAAGAGCTTCAATTTTAATTTTTTCATTCTCCTTTTCCTTATTGTTGTGAACTCTGGCTTACTTCTCCTTCTCCCTCTGCTTTCCTGATCAATTAAGAGCGGAAACTCACAAACCCAGTTATTTTAAACACAACGCTATGATTTATAAGCTAGTGGTAAGTAACAAATGGCTGCATCTATCTGCAACTGTGGTCAACCCTTCCAGACTTAGGGCCCACTTTTAACCCCAGGCATGGCGCCCATTCAGGTGCAAGCATATGACAGGAAGCCACACAGCACACAGTCACATGACTGGGAGGAGAAGGAGCCAAAAGGCACTGAACCCTGAGAAGTAATCCTTGCCACCACTGTCTGACCTTACCTTACCCTCCTGCAATTCCTCTGTTTGCATCCAAAGAAAGGCAAAAGGCCTGCTCTCTACCTCCACACATATACACTAGCAGCATGTCCTTCAGAAAAGCAGGCAACTCTATAAGAGCTCATGACCCCAGGGGTCGGTCTCTTTGACCCACTTGACAGGCCCCAACGACAAACTTAAGAACACAGAGTTACAGTTTCAACCCAAAGGAGCTCAGAGTGGCATATGTGATTCTCCCCCCATCAATGCCCACAACCACCCCGCGAGGTAGGCAAGGCTGAGCGAGTAGCTGGCCCAAGATTGCCTGATGAGCTTCATGAGTGGGTGGGGCTTTGAACCCTCATCCCTAGACAGACACGTCACTCATCACGCTATACTGGACAGAAAAGGGTATTGCAGACTCACTTTGCCCGTCTCGCTGAGGCACACTGTGTGAACCCCTCCTGCTTCGGCTTGGATGATCTTCTCAGGCAGCTTCACCAAGGCAGGTCTCTTCCTCGCCAAGACGTCAGGCCCGAGGCCCAGCTGCCCGAGGTCACCCTGCCCTAAGGTCAATACCAGACCCGCTTCCGTTTGATGTGACCGATGGCTGACTGAACAAGGGTGGAAGGAAGAATCGGGAAAAGAAGACAGCAGTTAGAGGTACACAGTGACAACCTTCATACATGTTAATGCAGGTGTGATCTACCCCAGTGGATTACAATGAACCCATAAAGGAGGACACAAACTCAAACAACTTCACTGAAAAACAAGTTAAATTTGGTTCAGTGGAACCCATGAACAACATACTGCAATATAAAGCAAAACCAGGAGAAACATACAGAGAAAATAATAAAACAAGAGCCCAATTTTTCTGAATCGCCTTTCAGCAGCTTCTCATAGAAATGGAGACTGGATCTTTTTTCCCCATTTGGGTCCAAGAGGGCTGACCTACAGCAGGCCCAATGGAGAGTTCGCACAACTGCATTCAATCACAACACGTTCACCCAAACGTCTTCTGAAAGACTGGAGGGAGAAATAGCTTAGCCCTCTCGACACTGGTGATGGAAAATGCCCTCAAGTCACAGCTGACTTATGGCAATCCCACAGAGCTTTCAAGGCAAGAGACAAAGTGAGGTGGTTTGCCATTGCCTTCCTCTGCATTGTGACCCTGGACTTCCTTGGTGGTCTCCTATCCAAATACAAACCAGGGCCAACCCTGCTTAGCTTCTGAGATCAGGCTAACCTGGGCCATCCAGGTCAGGGCCTCTGGACAGTAAGCACACATTTTTAGGAGGTACCCGTAGGAAAGACTAAATCAATGCTGGCCACCAATTCTTTCAGTACAGTCCTTACACACTTCCAATCCAACAGTCTTAGAACAGTGTAACAATCAAGGAAATACCAGGGAGTATAACATTCAACTTTTTTTTTACTTATGGAAATCATATATGAAGAAATAAATATGGAGAATTATCTGAAGAACAGGGTATGACAGACCCCTACTTCTTCTCTGTGAGGCAGATTTTCCCGCCAAAACAGTGTTCCCCACTCTGACTGAGCAGCCTCTTAGTAGCGTGTTTTAATAATGGAGTTATAACTTTCTGCGTGTCCCACCCTGGGATAGAGAAGTTATTTGGCTTTTGCCCAAGCCAAAAATTTATTGTAACTCAGCAGGAGCCCTTTGGAAATGTCACTTGACACAAAGTAAAGTTCAAACAGAAAGGTTGATTTTATTGAACAGTCACAGTTGAGTTAGGAGTAGGGCAGGGGACAAGATGTTGAGGTAAATTTGGTTGTTTATACGAAGTATAATATTTTGAACAGGCAGGCAGGCAGGCAACAGAGTATAGTTGAAGCTTATATTCTTAGAGATTCAGTTCCTATCTGTGAGAGGTTTGTTTGTCTTGGAGATTTCTTTCAGCAACAATGTGTCTTAATCAAGTTTCACTAAACTATTTTACGTTTCCTGGAAGTTAGAACTTTCTTCTTGTATTTAAATACTTCCCTTGTGGAATTATAACTTTCCCTTTTATACTCTTGAGGAGTCTAAGAAGTCCACCTCCCAAGTGACTTGTCTGTTTCCCTCAGGCCGACACACACTCCTCCTGACCGGCTATTGCCAAGCCAAAGTCCAAACCACAACTGACTCCCTCTAACAAGACTTTTTAAAACTCTCCTCCACTGATGCTGATCAATGGGGGGGGGGGGTGCACACAGGCAGCAGCCTGTCAATCAAACTGTGCTTTACAGTTAGGCCTTAACCCCTAATCTCCCAGCTCTCCACTTTTGATGCACTAAGCATCCTGATTTTGGAGGTCAGTTTGTCACAGAGATATAATATTGTATTTGTATTCATCATTCTGTACTACTCGGTTTGTGTTCATAATAAAATAAAAGGCTGTTAAAGAAAGGAAGAATGTAATTCTGTTTAGGATGGCACTACTTGGCTACTGGCATTCTCACGTTTCTGATACCCTCTCAGCTAGCGTGTTACTGACTTGAGATTTCTTTATAAGACTTATTTTGGTGAAAGAATACCTCCCTATTGGGAGGGAAGGTGGCATGGTATAGCCCAGATGTCAGAAAACGAAGCAGATTCAGTATTTGGATGGGAGACCACTAAGGAAGACTTTGCAGAGGAAGGCTATGGCCAACCACCTCTGCTTCTCACTAGCCTTGAAAGCTTCTTGCTGGGGTCACATTTGTTGGTTCCAACTTGACAGCACTTACATACATATCGCTCAGGATTAACTAGGGGCTAGCCATTATTTTAAGTCCAAGGAAGGAAGGAGCTAGGCCCAACTCCAACTCCATTCATGCCACTGTTTGTTTGTTTTTAATGTTTTCATTCTGGTAAACAACTTTGTATTCAAAAGCATTCTACAACTGCAGGAAAACAAACAAACAGCTGCTTAAGCCTCCCCCTGTGTTGGAGTAAGTTGGGAACAGATGTAAGGTCGATGCAAAAGAACTGATGACCTCTTACCTTTTGTCCGTTTTGCTTTGAGTGTGTCGTCTTTTTCCAGCACACGTTTCCTGGGCATGTTTCCTTAATACTGGGGAGGTAAAGGGTTCCTTTTAAAAGAGTAGATTGGCTAAAGTCGATTCAGGAGATGTAAACCTCACCTTGCCACTGAAACAGATATCACTAAAGATTCCTCAACTATGAAACTACTGGGTTATAGTGTTGAATTAGGATCCCCACACAGCCATGAAGCTTGCAAGGGGACCTAAATTACATAAGGAGGAAAGGGCCCTGGCTCCGTGAGAAAGCCTCTGTTTTGTAAGCAGAAGCTCCCGGGTTCAATCCCTGGCACTTCCAATTAAAAGGATCAAATAACAGGTGTTGGGAAAGACCTCAGCCTGAGACCCTGGAGAGCTGCTGCCGATCTGGATCTGCGTAGATAATACTGAGCTTAATGGACTGATGGTCTGATTCAGTATAAGGATGCTTCATGTTTTCAATATTTTTTTAAAGCCAGAATTAAAACAGTAGCCCAAAAAGGAAGAGAGCTCTAGGCAAACCTCAAACAGCAACAAAAAAACAAAGGATCAACAGGGAAAACTCAACAGGAGAATAAAACATGGCCTCTGGTGACATGAAAGCCACAAGAGCCCAAGCTCCAAATGTGGTGATGGGACATCCATCCAATTTTAATCTCACCCTTCCTTCAATAAATTCATGACTGTGTATGCATTCCTTCTCTCTCCATTTCATGATCATTCACAACAACTCTGCGAGGTAGGCAAGGCTGAGAGTGACTGGCCTAAAGTCCACTAGTAATTCTACCTGATCCCAGTTCAACACTATAGCCCGGTAGCTTCATGGTTGAGGAGGAATCTCTGTAACTCTTCACAGTACAACTCCGACATCACCTCTCTACCCCACCCCCAAGTAAAAAAGCCCATTTTTCTTCCAGTGGGACGCCCAAAGTTTACAACATCAAGTAATAGCTGAAGTGTAAAAATTCTGGAAAGCTAGAATGTTCGCCAAACCCTGGTTGAAAAACTCAGTTCTAACCACTCTGCTAACTGCTCTGAAAAGGGTGTTTTTGGGTAAAGGGTGATCATTTTGGAGAACTCCTATCAAAATTTTATTTTGCTCGTGAACAGTCATTGCAAAAAAAAAGGAGAACAGTGAAAATCTGGTGCTTCCCCTTGCTTATTTATTTTAATCCAAATGTTTTTGGCTTCTTGTTTCGAGAGTCTAAATGAGGACATTTTAGAAGCGTAAGGCACCACATTGTTTCCTAGGCAGTTTGCCACAGCATCTGCCAAAAAGGCACATTGTTACACACTTAAATTCATTGCTAATCCCAGGGCCACCTGTTCAGCCATCTCAGTGACTTGATGGAGTTTGGAAAAACAGCATAAGAGGAATACAAGAGAGAGATCCCTATTAAAACAAGGATAAAAGAAAAATGCTTAAAGGTGTTGTGGTGTAGTGATTAAAAGTCCCTAACCTGTGCTGGGAAGTACAGAGGTTTGAATCACTCTATGAAACCAGTCACTATAGCCTACCTCACCAAAGTTCTTGTAAAAATGAAATGGGAAGAGGACGAATGTACCACCCCCAACTCCACTGAACCAAAGGTGTGATTTAAAATACATAGGCCCCGGTCACACGGGCCGGATATCGCGCGCGGGGGGGGGGAGGCATGGCTAATTGCCCCGGCGCAGTTTGATCCGTGATTACGCGATCAGACGCGCCGGCGGCACACCACGGGTCCTTCCCTTGGCGACGGCGGGTAAACGAGGGACCGGAGGAGAATGCCGTGCGCCAGCACAATCACACCACTGGCGTCTGGAGGCAGCCCGTGGCAAACGTTTACTAGTACCTTGGAGGTACTAGTTTTTTAAGGTGCATTGTTGGTGGTAAACCACGGGTGCGCTCCCAGATGTTGGGGTGTGATCACACCCGGATAATCCTTCCACCATCCGTGCCTCTCCCGCAGCAACTTTGCCATGTGACCGGGGCCATATAAAGGTAGGACTCCCTGGTTATGCAGAAAAATACGACTTTGTGAGTTACCCCAAAGAAAAAGGGGGGAAATCCTGGTCTGATGAGGCTTAAAAATGACCCAGAAGGGCACGTTGGCAGCTGCTAAGTGCCAGATGCCGCGGTAGTTAAATGGAACCTCCAAGTTCAGAAGCAGTGTACCTCTGAATCCTAAAGGCTGCATGCAAGCAATGGAAGTTTCTTTCCTTGGCACCTGGTTTCTGAGCTCCCTAAAACAAAACTGTTCTACAGAGTGAAACCGCTTAGATTTGTCTATTCCAGCTGGCAATCCCTGTAAATCTAACGGAGGGATTTCTTCCCTTCTCCCCATTCCCAGATATTGTCAACTGGAAAGTGATTAGACCAATTAGATTTTCTCCCATGGCAAATAAAAAAAAAAAATCACACAATCCTTCCTGGTTCTGAGATAATCATAATTGACGTTACTGTTTGCATATATGCAAATAATCTAGATTACTAACAGCACTCCGCCCGGTTAACACGGGGCTCCCCAGGGAAGGGCTCCCAGGCAGGCAGCTACGAGATCCGGATTTACAAAAGTCTTCAAGCCCTTCCTCGGGGTTCCATTTACGGGGGGGTGGGGATTCGCGTTCCTCCCCAGTCATGCTTTCATCCTTCCCCGATTAGTTTAAAAACAAAAACCTGCAAGAAATTCATGCGATCCGCCGCACGACATGCTCTGGCGCCGCAGCGCTGATCCTCCCTTTCCCCACCGCGGCGAGTTACCCGGACAGGGAGAGCAGGCAGAACCGGCGTCCGGGGCGCGACGGACGAGCCAGCCTCTACCCACCGAACGTGCGGGACCCGCGCTTCCCCTGCTCGCCGCGGCTGCCTCTCCTGGAACCCGAACTGGTGACTCCGCGTTCGACACGTAGAGCGTTCAGAGGCCACAGCTCCAAACCACGTGGGGGTACGAGTCGGCCGAGGCCCTCAAGCAACTTAGATCCATCCAGGGAATCGGCGGCCGCCTTCCTCACGCCGCGTCTGCCTCTGCAGAGAGCCAAATCCCTCCGGTCCTCCCCCACATCCAGAGTAAAACAGCGAGGCTTACTTACCCTGCTGTATTCGCTCCCCTTCCCTCAAAGTCTGGCAAGTCTTCTCCCAATGCCCCCCTGGAGCCCGGATCTCTTAGGAACATGCGCACTAGGAGCCCCGGCGCAGGCACCATTTGCTGTCGGAAGAGGAGGAAAAAAACCTAAACTGTCGCACGCCAACTAGCGACCGCTACGAAAACTACTCTTCCCTACCAGCGTTATAATAAGGTTTGAAATTCAATTCCCCCCTCCCGCGGAGGGCATGTTAGAGTTAGGTAAAGGTAAAGGTTCCCTTGCTCGAAAGCCAGTCGAATCCGACTCTAGGGTTGCGGTGCTCATCTCCGTTTCAAAGCTGAAGAGCCAGCGCTGTCCGAAGACGTTTCCATGGTCATGTGGCCGGCGTGACTAAACACCAAGGAGCACGGAACGCTGTTACCTTCCCACCGAAGTGGTCCCTACTTATCTACTTGCAATTTCTTGCTTTCGAACTGCTAAGTTGGCAGGAGCTGGGGCCAGAGATGGGAGCTCACGCCGTCATGCGGCACACTCGGGTCTCGAACTGCTGAACTACTGACCTTCCACAGCCTGCAGTTCAGCGTCGTAACCACTTGAGCCACCGCAGCTCCATGTTAGTTACCCCTAGGCAATTGCAGGCCGCTGCTGTGCTTGTATACTTTTCGCAGTAACTGCTTCCTTATTGGCCCCACGGCCAAAATGGGAGGAAGATTAGAATTCCACTGCGATTTCCCCCCCCCCCCCCTGCATAGACTCAAGCTCCTAGTTCTGAATCCTTATACACGCTTTCACAAAAAAGACCGTCTGTGCTTAATTCGGGGAGGGGTTGGAGAGGACATTCCAAAGCGAGAACATATGTGATTGACATTGCAACGTTATTTAAGGAAACCGTCTACGTTCTCTTAAAGCAAATGCCCCAGACCTTTGCAGCTGTGGCTGCCAGCCCCCAAACAGGGCCTGGAGATCTCTTGGCATTACAACTGATTTCTAGACTAGAGGGACCAGTTCCCCTGTAGAAAATGGCTGCTTTGGAGGGTGGAGTGCATGGCATTATACCCCACTGAGGCTCCACTCCCAAACCTCCAGGAATTTCCCGACCCAGAGCTGGCAACTCTATTTGCAGAAAAAGCTCACCAGAGCCAAATGTTCTCTACTCACCCTCTATGTGTCAGGCCAAAGGGTACTGTCCATTGTCTCCCTTTGCCCTCTGGATGTTCTTATAGACAGAACAGAAAGTGCATTGATTTTATTTCCTACCCAGATTTTAATGAGAAAATGAGAGCCCTTAATTAAAATGCCTGCGTTAGCTGGATTTTATCTGCTCGTTCAGGCCATTATAATTATGCAGCTGTGGCCAGATTTGATACAGGTCTGGTGTACAGTTGGCCAAACTAGCCTTTAATCATCGATGACAGTGTGGTTAGTGTCAGACTAGGATCTGGGGGACCCATGTTCAAATCTCCAGCCTGCCTTGGAAGCTCACTGTGTGACCTTGGGCCAGGCACATGCTCCAGCAGCCTAGCCTACCTCCTGGGACAAGGTTTGGAAGCCAGTGGTATCTTCATTGGTCTTGCTTCAGACCAACATAGCCACCTGCCTGAATCTACCTCCCAAGGTTCTTGTGAGGATAAAACAGAGCAATTCAAGCACCTTTGGACCCCTGACCATTGAAGAGAAAGGCAGGGTATAATTAAAATATATTGACAAGGTAGGAACTTTTCTGGGGTCTCAACTCAGCCACTAACTGGAAGCAATAAATCTATTTTTCTCCAGGGTCCGATTCATCAGAAATGTGAACATGGCCACACTGCAATGTATTGTTTGTACATGAAGCTGCCTCACATGGAGTCAGACCATCAAGGTCAATATTGTCTACTCAGCCTGGCTGTTATTTTAACAGATGCCAAGGATTGCACCTGGGACCTCCCGTGTGCACAGCAAAGGCACTTCCACTGAGCCACAGCCCCTCCGCCCTGGTGATCTAGGTTCCAAACAGGCAACTGATCAATCTGGACCTTTGGGCAAAGACCTATTGAGAGATCAGGGTTAAATAATCATTACTTTGAAGCTAGTACTTATATCACTGGCTGGACTTTGCTCTTGTTCACAGGAAGCCCTGCTGTGTACACCCCTTGGAAATTATACCATCAACAAGCATAACCCTTGTTGCAGTTTGGCATTTAGGAAGGCTAGCTCACTCAGCACTTCCCATTTATAGAACAGGAAATCAACACGATCCAGTGTATGCACCAACCCTCACATGCAAGTGGAAACTGAAATTAGGGAGTTATGAAAATGCTTTAATAGGATGCTAACACTGGATGTATTGGTGGGGGGGGGGGTGCTTCAATGGCAAAAAACACTATTACAATCTGTATTGCAACCGAGCCAGAAATATTCAGTGGCAGTTCTTCCCCCACCCCTTTCTGAATCTTTTGTTCAGTTGCACAGTCGAGTCAGACTCTTTGCAACCCCATGGACCAGATCACGCCAGGTGATCTGAATCTACTTTCCACAAAACTGCATAGCAAATGGAGGGGGGGGGGGAGGTATCCTCTGGTGCACAAACCTGGTTTAGAATTCCAGCTTATGGGCAAAAAATAAATCCAAATTTTTAACATGCCTGAACTCAAGTCCCACTACAAATTGTGGCAAGATTGAATATTCAAGAATGACAAGCCTGCTCAAACCAAAAAGCCTCATTTTTCATCATCTGAATGTTGGATCACCACCTTTTACACAAAAAGAGCCCATAGCAGTAGTGGAAAGTACCATCAAGGTACAGTTGACTTACAGCAACCTTGTAGGGCGTTCACACATTAGAAAATGCTGGCTGTCCCATTGGCAACTAATACATAGAAGCAGAAACAATCCTACATTTCACTTGGTCCTTTATTCAGTAGCAAACCAAGAACACAACACACCCAGCCATCCTGTCTATTAAGCTGACATGGACAGCCAGCATATCACAGTTGTTAATGTCGGAGTAGGATATGTGAAATCAATTTTAACACAAACAGAAGTAATTCCAGTCACCAGAAAAGGTATCAATAAAAGACAAGGTAGAAAAATAAAACTTTATTGTTGTTATCCTAGCAGGGATTGCAGAAGGCAACAGTGAGGACTGGGGAGAAAAATGGATGAACCTAAAGCAGACAGAACATGAAAACTTGCTTTGTTTCAGTCACACAAATAGGTTTTTCAGCATTTAGCAGTCTAGGGCTTCATCCACAAACACCCTGGAGTGAGCACACACACACAAATCCAACTCTGAAGCTGGGTCTCCAAATTTGTTATCAGCGCTGTAAATGTTGGTATTCGTGGCCCCTTAAAAACTAACTGGCTTATTGTGGCGTAAGCCTCTTTAATGGACACATGAAGGCAAGCAACACATGAAATGGGCTGCGACTGACAAAAGGATGCTGCTGCAATGAATATTTCATCTGCCACAACAAAAACCAAGCAGTCTCTTCATACCCTGAAGACATCATGGCTAACCCTCTGAAATCTGTCATCCAGGTGTAGCTTCTCTTAAATACAGTTGCCGCCCCCAATTAATGCCAGCTTGCAGTCATCTTGCTGGTGAATAGTTTCAGTTCTCCAGTTCTGTTGATACATAAACAAGTGTGCGTAATGATGCAGTATTAAGTTTTCTTAACAGCAGGTCTTCTAAACAGCTTCCAGGAGGCTTCTCCTTTAAAATGATCTGATAGAGCAAAACAGAAGTAGCAGAATAGATTTGTTTTTTCGTGAATGGAAAATAAAGCACTGGACTTATTTGATTCGACTTCTACCTCATCTTTCTTTTTTTGGTCCCCCAAAGGGGAACTTCTACCTCATCTTTCAATCCAAACAGATCCCCAAAGGCAGCCTGCAAATCTCTGACCCACAGCCCTTCGGAGAGGTATCTAGCCATTCTCTCATGTTCCTTTTTAAGCCAATGTTCTCTTCCCAACAGCAGATGCCTATCAGGCCTGCGTGAGTGCATTAACATTTTTCTGTGATGCAAAGAAATCCAGGATCCCCACTTATACGCAGAGGTCAATATTCAAGGCCTCATACAAGTCCCAAACCAACCAACTCTATGAGCCTTTAGAACACAAGCTTCCTACCTCTTTCCCCATTTCCCTGTTCCACTCACCCTGTTCTTGTGTTTTTAAAGGCTCAGCAGCTTTACCTAGTACCTTGCGCTTATCCCATGTAAGCCGCCCTGAGCCTGCTTCGGCGGGGAGGGTAAATAAAAAAATAAAAAGCATACAGCGAAGATAGGTACCTGAAAGGTTTCCTGCATTGCAGCCAATCAGCCTTGCTTTTCATACCCAACACAGCCAAAGCTAGAAAAGACAAAACCAAAGACTTAAGTCTTATCCTCACGCAGCGACTTCTCATGTTCTAACACAGCTTCAAAGGAGCACTGTACAATGTCTCCTGCATGGTTTGTCTCCTCAGTCACCATCCGAAGACTCAGAGAAGCAGTAGGAATATGCAGGCTGCAGACCCAAGGGGCCCAACTTGCTCTCCAACGGTGTGGAATGGGACTCTACGTCACGGAGCACGAAGCCCTACGCTCCCGTACGCCACACGGACAGAGCTGTGAGAGAGCGACCTCCCCAGATGTCCCCGTTGGATGAAAACACTCAATTGCAAGGATATGGCTGTTGCCTGAATTGCGAATACCTGGACCAGGGATGGGCAGCCCTGTCAGCCTATTATTTCCATAGTCGCTCTTGTTCTGTTAACACCCAGTGGCCAAAAGTTGTTTTGTTTTATTAAAAAGCAGATTAAGGGCAGTCTCCTCCCATATTCTTCTGCTGTCTGTTTCCCCTCTTTGGGTGGTGGATGGGGCATTGACCAGAGGCTGGGCCTTTTCCATCTATGGAACGTGGTCCCTGAAGAGGTGCGTTCAGCCCCCCTTGTTGGAGGCGCTGCAACGTCACCAGGACTTTTGATGGGGTGCGAACAGCAGGCATTTATCAGGAGGAGGTATTTGATCAGTAATGTTGTAATTGATCCAGGTGGGGTGAGGAAAAGTGGGGTACAAATATTTTACAAATAAAATGTACCAGAGTTGCTAAGTGGAGGCAGGCAATGGCAAACCACCTCTCGCCTTAAAAACCCCATGAGGTGTTGCTGTAAGTTGGTTGCAACTTGACAGCACTTTGTTACACATGATTTGGCTCCATAGTTCCTTTACTTAACTTAAATTACAGTCCCCCTTTTTTGTACAGCAAAGGATTCACCTTTACAGATCCTGCGTGCTCTGGCACAGTTGGGGAATTACAACAAAATCAAACATTTACATTTCTCATTCCTATAACTTATAAGGGAGATTCCTGTGAAAAATGTTGAGGTTGTTTTTACTGTGCTGTATGTTTTATCTTGTTTTCATCACATCCTTTTCTAATTTTGGTAATCCAGTTTTATTGCCTTGTTCATTGTATATATTGTCCTGTTCTTATTGATTATATCGTAGTTTCTGTTCTGTTATTACATTTTGTAACCTGCCTTAGCCTTGACCTGGATGGCCCAGGATAGCCTGATCTCGTCAGAACTTGGAAGCTAAGCAGGGTCAGCCCTGGTCAGGACTTGAAAGGGAGACCACCAAGGAAGTTGAGAGTTGCTACCAGAGGCAGGCAACGGCAAGCTGCCATTAGTCAGCCGTGACTTGACAGCACTTCCCACATCTGTTTTGCGTCCCAGCAAGAAAGGTGGACTATAAATGGATAGACTAAGTCTGTGTGTTGGATGTGGCCTGGCAGGGATAATTCCAGATCGTTTCCTGGCACATCCCCAAAGAGCACTGCACTTGGCAGAGAAAAACCTACTGGTGATTCCCAGCCCAAAAGACATCCAGCTGTCCTCAACCAGAGCCAGGGCCCTTTTGGCCCTGGTGGAACCCTCTGCCGAATGACATCCGTGCCCCGTGGGACCTAATGCAGTTCTGCAGGGCCAGTAAGGCAGAAATGTTCCGCCAGGCTTTTGGTTGAGGACAGCAACAGTTTCCATCTTGTCTGGCACCTCTACTTGCCTCTCCCCCCTTGGACAATGGCACACTTTGTAGTTTTTAGCATCATCTAGAAATGTCTGTTATATTTTCCTATTCTTTTAAATTGCTCATTAATTTATGAATTCGTTTTTATTGTTGTACACCTCCCTGAGCCTTGTGTGCACTGGGGAGGGCAGTCAAGAAGTTTAATTTATGAATAAACAAACTAACAAACGGAACACATGGCTGAGGCACCCACCATCAAAAGAAGCTACACTTGTGTTTCCAGTGAAATCTCATTTTCAGAGCTAGACATGGTTTGGCAATGGTATCAAAAAGAAGGCACCCACAACACAGGTAGCAAACTGCTTGTGTCACAAACAGAATGGATCTTGAGGTACTGGCCAATCTGTCAGCAGGTACCTGGAAAACTGTAGCGACGACGACAGCCAGAACTCGAATCCTTCACATAAAAGCACGACTACGATGACATCATTCAAGCCATTGCTCAGGCTCCTGAATCAGAGCGGGATTCGGAGCCAGAAGGATGACACAGCAAAAGCATGGCATTTGCTATAATGAACAGAAAGGGGAAAGTGTGTTTAGGAATCAGGGCCCTTAACTTTTAAAGCATTTACTTTTAAGGGGTTGAGAAAAGCTAGAGAGGAGGGCACCCACATAAGCAAGCACGAGCTCCCGCTTTCCCAAGATGGTGACAATTAATTTTTTCCCCAGAGTCCACTCGATTCTTCCCCAAAGCAGAGAAACATTCCTGGTTTTCCTCCAACCCACTGAGCAAAAAATGCTTAAGAGCCCTTTTGAGCCTGCAGGAAAACTCCAATTCAGAAACAGCTGCCCGTCGGCATCAGAGGGGATGCCGGGGGTTGGAAAGTCCTGACATTCTAATTCGCGTCCAGGAGCACCTTAGAGACCAACAAGACTTTCCCAGAGTCAGAGCTCCCTTCGTCAGACACAAGCAG